AGGAGGCGGGGGCGAGGGGGAGGGCTGTTTCCAAGGAGGCGGGGGCGAGGGGGAGGGCTGTTTCCAAGGAGGCGGGGGCGAGGGGGAGGGCTGTTTCCAAGGAGGCGGGGGCGAGGGGGAGGGCTGTTTCCAAGGAGGCGGGGGCGAGGGGGAGGGCTGTTTCCAAGGAGGCGGGGGCGAGGGGGAGGGCTGTTTCCAAGGAGGCGGGGGCGAGGGGGAGGGCTGTTTCCAAGGAGGCGGGGGCGAGGGGGAGGGCTGTTTCCAAGGAGGCGGGGGCGAGGGGGAGGGCTGTTTCCAAGGAGGCGGGGGCGAGGGGGAGGGCTGTTTCCAAGGAGGCCAGCTCCACCCCTCTCACTCACTGCAACCTCTCCCCTTGGAATGCACAATCCTCCGCTCCAACCCCAACCTCACCATCAAACCCATGGACAAGGGGGCACATAGTGGTATGGTACACTGACCTCTACATCGCGGAGGTCAGTCAGCAACTCTCTGACACATTCTGCTACCGCCCCCTCGTTTATGACCCCTGATCACTGAACCATCATCTCTCAGATCATCCATAACCTTATCACCTCAGGAAATCTCCCACCTCATCGTTCCCCAACCCTGCATCACCTGTTTCTATCTCCTCCCCAAAATTCAAAAACCTGACTGTCCCAACCAACCCACTGTCTCTGCCTGCTCCTGCCCCACTGAACTCATCTCCGTGTACCTGGACTCTATCTTTTCCCCCTGGTCCAGGAACTCCCCACCTACATTCGGGACACCACCCATGCTCTCTACCTCTTCCAAGATTTCCAATTCCCTGGCCCCCAAAACCTTATCTTCACCATGAACATCCAATCCCTGTACACTTGTATCCCCCAAACAGATGGCCTAAAAGCCTTCCACTTCTTCCTCTCCCACACGCCCAACCAGTCCCCCTCCGCCGACACCCTCATCTGTCTAATGGAACTTGTCCTTACTCTGAACAACTTCTCCTTTAACTCCTCCCACTTCCTATTAACTGAGGGGGTGGCTATGGGCACCTGTATGGGTCCGAGCTATGCCTGCCTCTTTGTAGAATATGTGGAAGAGTCCCTTTTCTGCTGTTGCACCGGCACCATCCCTCACATCTTCCTTCGTTACATTGATGACGGTATCAGCCCTGCCTCGTGCTCCCATGAGGAGCGTGAACAGTTCAGCAACTTTACTAACATGTTTCAGACCAACCTCAAATTCACCTGGACCATCTCCAACACCTCCCTCCTCTTCCTGGACTTCTCCATCTCAGTTTCTGGTAACTGCCTCAACACCGATATCTATTTCAAACCCACCAACTGCCATAGCTACCTGGACTACATCTTCTCTCACCCATCCTCCTGCAAGAACATAATCCCTCACTCCCAATTCCTCCACCTCTGCTGCACCTACTCCCAAGATGGAGTGTTCCACTCCTGAACATCCCAGATGTCCTCCTATTTCAAGTACCACAACTACCCCCCCTCCAATGATCAAAAATGCCCTCAACCACTTTTCTTACATTTCCCACATTTCTGCCCTCAAAGCTCCTCTCCCCAAAAATAAAGACAGAATCCCCCTGGTCCTCACATACCACCCCACCAACCTCCTCTTCCAGCGTATCATTCTCAGCCACTTCCGCCACCTACAATCCGACTCCACAACCAAGAGATATTTCCCTCCCCACCCCTATCTGCCTTTCGTAGGGAACGCTCACTCCATGACTCCCTCATCCATTCCACACTCCCTGCTAACACCACCACACCCGGCACCTTTCCCTACAACCTCAGGAAGTGCTACATCTGCCCCTACACCTCCATCCAAGGCCCAAAACAAACATTCCATATCTGACAGGGGTTCACCTGTACATCCTCCAACCTGGTCTACTGTATCCGTTGCTCCCAATGTGGTCTCCTCTACATCGGTGAGACCAAGCGCAGGCTCAGCGACTGTTTCTGGAGCATCTGTGCTCTGTTCGTAATGAACTGACAACAACGTTCGGTCGCCAACCATTTAAACCCCCCACTCCCTTATGACACATCCAGCCTGGGCCTCCGCCAGTGCCGCAATGACACCGCACGCAAACTGGAGGAGCAACACCTCACATTCCGCCTTGGGAGCCTACAGTCTGATGGTCTGAACGTAGAATTCATCAGTTTTAAAATCTCCCCACCCCTGGCCTCATCCCACATCCAACCCTCCTTCTCAACCCCACCTCCTTGACCTGACACAATCTGTCCATCTTCTTCCCACCTATCTGCCACACCCTTCCCACTGACCAATCCCCACCTCTTGCTACCTGCATTCACCTATCACTATCCCACCCCTCCTCCCTCTATTTCCCAGCTCCCTTCCCCCTTCCCCATTTCTGATGACCCGAAACGTCAACTTTCCTACTCCTGATGCCACCTGACCTGGTGTGTTCCTCCAGCTCCACACTGTGTTGACAAATATCATATGTCCAGGTTTTCTTAAAATCTAGGTTCTAGTTCTAGTTTATTCTTTGCTATAGTTATTACAGTTCACTAGGTCAAAGATTAACAATGGTGTGATTTAGCGATACACTGTTGCTGTTTATTCAGTTGAAGACAGTGTGCAATGAAGACGGCAACTTAGGAACAAAAAAATCAAGAGGGGGGGACAAGTATGAGGGATTTAGCATTATTGTCTATTTTAGAGAGAAAAACCATACCAAATAAAAAATTTACATTCATGCGGTGCCTTTTGTCACGTCAAGATGTTACAATGTGCTTCACAGCCAATGAATTGGTTTTCAAATCATTCAGTTTCAGTAGTTTATGGCACAGGAGGAAGCTATTTGTCCTATCAAGTCAGCTCTCCATGAAACAATCCAGTCAGTCCCATGCCACCACAATATCCCAGACTCTTGCCAGTTTGTTGTTTTCAACGAGCACCCACCATCCTTTTGAGATCATTGATCTGCTTCCACCGCCCTCACAGGAAGCGGGTTTCAGGCCATTACCACTTCCTGCATAAAAATGCTCTCTGTACGCTTCTCCTGTAGTTATTGGCTAAATCTCAAATCAGGGTTCCCCATTCCTGTACATAAGCTTTTGAGAACAGTTTTTCCTTGTCTACTTTATCCAAATCTGTCATAAATCTGTATATAGTCAATCAATCAAATCTCACTTCAATGCCTTTTTCTCCATGGAGAATAATCCTAGCTTCGTTTACCTACTCTTCTGGTTAAAAACCCCCTTCTGAAAAGATTCTGGAGATGACAAGACTGGATGCAATACTCTGGGTATAGTCTGCCTAAGCAGAGCTTCAAAGGTTCAGGATAACTTCCCAGTATTTGAAATCAACGTATCTATTTGTGAATCCTTTAAACCCATATACTTTAATAACCGTATGCCAAATGCATCCTGCTACCTTCAAAGTTCTATTTATATGCATAACTACTGCATCTCCCTGCCATTCCTCTGTTCCTGCTCTCTTAAAATTATGCCATTAAAAGTATGCTCCCTCTCCTTCCCTTCTGTCAGAAAGCATACCTCACAGTCTCTGTATTAAATTCTATCTGCCACTAGTTTGTCCATTCTACTGGTCTACGTCCTACTGCATTTTATAAGTATTTTCCCAACTGCTTGCCACTCTTCCAAGTTTGGTATTCACTGGCAAAACTTGAAATATTTCAATATTTCACTCCCCAAGTCATTTCTGTGTATCAAAAACAGCAGTGCTCTCAGCACTGACGCTTAGAGAACATAACTCTCTAAAGTCACCCATCTATCATGGCTTACTGTTTTCTGCTCTTAAGCCAGTAGTTTTTTAAAAATCTAAATTGACACTGAACTTCTATTCCAAGAGCCACAATTTTGATAATCAACTTCTTACACTGTATTTTATTAAATGCTTTCTTAAAATGCACGTAGACAACATCCATTGCATTCCGTTCATCAACTTGTGTTACTCCTTTAAAAATTTCAGTCAGACAAACATAATTTGCCTTTTTAAATCCACGTACGCACTCCTTAGTTAACTAAACCTCTCCAAGCATGTGTTAACTTTCTCTCTGATTGTTTCTAAACCCTTACTCTCACTGATGTTAAACTAATTAGTACGTTGTTGCTAGAGGGTCGAGAGTCTTTGCGACTGTTTTCCTCGAAAGGCAGTAGGAGCAGTCTTTAAATATTTTTAAGGCAGAGGTAAATTCTTGATAATCAAGGGGTTGAAAAGTTATTAGGGTTAGACAGAAACGTGGAGTAATTAAACCAGCCATGATTTTATTGAATAGTGGATTGGGTTTAAGAGATTGTGTGGGCTACTTCTGGTCTGAGCTTGTACATGCTCTTGAGGTTTTGCACTTTTTTTCACATCACCTGCAAATTTTGAAATCAAAATCCAAGTCATTAACATATATCAGGAAAAGCAAAGTCCTAAAACTGAATCCTGTGGAACTTCACTGCAAAGCTTTAGCTCACAAGTCTGTTGATCCCTCTACTTTTGCCACAGCTACCATTATTTGTCAGATTCCATCTTCTTAGAAAACACCGATATAAAGTACTCAATAAGTATTCAACTTGCCGGCGTGCCTTTTGCCTTTCAAAACACCAACTTCTGTCACTTATTATTTATGTGCCGGTAGATGATTTTTGGGTTCACTTTTATGTTGACTGTCGTCCTGTTCTCATATTTTATTTTTGCCAGTCTTATTTTTCTCTTCAATTCTTTTCACTGTATTTTCTTTACTTCCTTTCCACTATATTCAATGAAATTCCCACTTGAAGTATTTACATCATGCATCCTCTTCTTGTTTCATCATATCATTTCTCTCTCTTATCAAAGAAGCCTAGTTTTGGTTCCATTATCTTTGGTTAGAAACTTCTCATTCCATTGAAATTATCCCTCTCCTAATTTAGCCACTGCACTTTAGATTACTTTGTATTCTTCTACCTTACTATTGAAACCTTATGAGTAAGAAGGATCATTGTATCATGTTCTCCAGACACTTGTCCACTTTATTCAACTAGAAAAAAGTATTGCTGTATCTGGCGCTGCAGCTTGAGGTGGGTTAAGAACAGACTTTATCAAAGAAGTCTTCCTGAAGTCTTCTGTATTCACAGTTGTGATATAGACAAGTTATGAAAACAATTTCTGCACTGGAAGGACTCAGAGACAGTAACAAAATAAATTAGTTGGCACTGGAGGGTGATTGCTGACATCTAAATAAACAGGACCAAAGTAACAGGAGAACTTCCTTACCCTGCTGTTTTTTTTAAAAGATTGTGCCATGGATTTTTTAAATTACATCTGAACAAGCAGGTGAGACCTAGGCGTAATGCATCATCCAAATGAGGACTGCTCAAATTAGCTATGCAAACATTTCAGGACTTGATTTCAGATTTGCTCCAGATAGAATCTCAAGGTCACTCTCCAGAGTGCAAGAAAGCAAGTACTTTGTTGTGACTTCAGTGAGCAGCATAATAGAACGTAAGGGGGTGACTGAGCTTTCCATGATCATAACTTTAGAAATCAAACAACATTTTGTTGAGATTATAAAATGGAGGAGTTTTTTGCATTAATTATTGCCATTTCAATACATTATTTTCATTCCCAAAATATATTTTATGCCCATTTATTATGCCAAAAAATGGAAAATCGAGGCTGATAGTTTGTCATTAATTAGATGATTAACTTAATTTAATCTCAATAACTATTTTCTGTAAGTCTCCTTGTGGATTCTATACGCAAGGGCCTTTTTCTAAAAAAAAAATGTTCTCCCAGTTGCTGGAGCACCCATCACACCCTCAGCTCTCCCGATTATTTTGTCTCTTAAAGCAATGAGTAACACTCTCCACTGGCAGTGCAATTTCTTAAAGCAAGCTACATTTTTCTGGAGCCTAAAAATATTTGAATTGTACCTGAGTTTTCTTTAGATTTCTTTCCAATGTCGTCTTCTCTCTTTTCAATTGCTTTATTTCTGCATTTTGTTTTGCTGTTGTTTCTTCATTAGAAAGAAAAGCACATATTTTATATTGAGTCTAGGGAACAGTAAAATGAGAAATTCCAAACAGTATTCATACTTGCACCAAGTCAGAAGAATGCTTTTGATGATGCATTATTCTACTTAATAAAAAAAGTAATATTCACTTGAAATATTCTTACAGTTGTAAAACCCCAGCAGCTCAAGTAGAAATAAGTGCCTTCTGCTTTGAGCATCTACACTTCAACAAACAACAACTGTCTCCAGTAAATGGTATCTGGCAAAGGGGGAGGGTGCCAGGATTTTTTTTGTTTAAATTGCATCTGCAAATAAAGGTAATTATTTTTATAAAAAAACTACAGACCAAAATTTCCTTGGCCTTGTTTATTTGAGGGCTGGTTTGGGATTTGTAATCGGCCTGCATTGGTTCCAGTTAACGGGGGAACAGTGGGCAAATTTGGTACTTTAGCACAACTGCAGTGTGCAACTACGTGCTACAGAATATGATGCCGCTCAATAGAACGAAGCAGAGCAAAGTACTGGTTGCAAAAACACGAACAAAAACAAAGTTGCTGGAAAAGCTCAGCCGGTCTGGCAGCATCTGTGAAGAAAAAAATCAGCATTAACGTTTCGGGTCCAGTGACCCTTCCTCAGAGCACTAGTTGCCCTGCCAGATAACCTCTTCTCATGTCAAGGAGCTGCAGGAATCCAGCTCCAAGTTTGCAGCTTCTACTCTATTTCCTTTGTCATGCTGCAGATCCATAGGCACTGCCAGGTGCATCCTGTGCGGACAGGTCATAAAGTAACATTTTCTGGACATTCATGAATTCACATAATATTGCCCAAAATAATCCACAAGACTTCCAGACACTTTGCAACAGCATAAATCCTTAAAAATAACTGTAACTGTAATTTGGGTATCTGGCCTTTTAAGGAACATTAGTGGAGGGCCCATCTTGCATTTTTGTGCCTGTCATATGTACGGTAATGGAGGAATATAATGTCTGGACCTGGGTGGTTTAAATTTGTTTGGCTATATGACATCAGGGTAGAGTCAACTGACAGGCTTCTGGCACATGCAAGAGGATCCTTTCTCTAAGGGAACACTGCACTGCCACAAAGAAAGCAGTTGCTGTGTATCACACCTTATCAGAGCAGCATTTGGCCTCATAGCTAGGATACGTTTTTCATCCAGGATATGTTTTCAACAGACTTTTGCAGGGAGCAATTACCAACATAATGGAGTGTTATATTGCAAAATACACAGTTAATAATAACTATGTTTTAAGGTTTAACATGTTGCAACTCCCCACAATTTTTGCAACTTGAGCTATTAGATTATTATAGTTTGGCTCCTGAATGAAAATCAGGGACCTGTTCAGGTGTACCCTACAACTCTGTGGGAAGCTAGGGAAGTGATTGCTGTGCTCCTATCTGAGATATTTCTATCTTCGATAGCCACAGGTAAGGTGCTAGAAGACTGGGAGGTTGGCTAATGGGGTGCCACTAATTAAGAAAGGTGGTAAGGAAAAGCCAGCTAACTATAGACCAGTGAGCCCAACATCAGTGGTGGGCAAGTTGTTGGAGAGAATCCTGAGAGACAGGATTTACATGAATTTGGAAAAGCAAGGACTGATTAGGGATAGTCAACATGGCTTCGTGTGTGGGACTTGTCTCACTAACCTGATTGGGTTTTACGAGGAAGTAACAAAGATGAGGGCAAGGCGGTGAATGTCAACTATATGGACTTCAGTAAGGCATTCAACAAGGTTCCTCATGATAGAGTGGTTAGATAGAGGCTGGTGGTGGAGAGTTGCTTTTCAGACTGGAGGCCAATGACCAGCGGTTTGCCACAAGTATTGGTGCTGGGTCCACTGCTTTTCATCATTTATATAAATGATTTGCATGTGAACAGAGGAGGTATGATTAGTAAGTTTGCAGATTACACCAAAGTTGGAGGCAGAGTGAACAGCGAAGGTGGTTACCTCAGAGTACAATGGGATCTTGATCAGACGGCCCAACGGGCCGAGGAGTGGCAGATGAAATTGAATTTAGATAAATGTGAGGTGCTACATTTTGGAAAGGCAAATCAGGGCAGGACTTCTACGCTTAATGTTAAGGTCCATGGGAGTGTTGCTGAACAAAGAGACCTTGGAGTGCAGGTTCATAGTTCCTTGAAAGTGGAGTCAGAAGTAAATAGGGTAGTGAAGAGGGCATTTGCTATGCTTTCCTTTAGTGGTCAGTGAATTGAGTATAGGAGTTGAGAGGTCATATTGCAGCTGTACAGGACATTGGTTGGGCCGCTATTGGAAAAACTGTGTGCAATTCTGGTCTCCCAGATGTAGGGAGGATGCTGTGAAACTTGATGGGGTTCAGAAAAGATTTACAAGGATGTTGCCAGGGTTGGAGGGTTTGAGCTATAGGGACAGGCTGAATAAGCTGGGGCTATTTTCCCTACAGCTTTGGAAGCTGAGTGGTGACCTTATTACACGAATAGGGTAAACAGACAATGTCTTTTCCCCAGAGTGGGGGGGTGTCCAAAACTAGACAGCATAGGTTTAAGGTGAGAGGGGAAAGATTTAAAAGAGATCTAACAGGCAACTTTTTCATGCAGAAGGTGGTAGGTGTATGGAAGGTGCTGACTGAGGAAGTGGTGGGGGGCTGATACAATTACAACATTTAAAAGGCATCTGGTTGGGTATATGAATAGGAAGGGTTTCGAGCGATACGGACCAAATGCTGGCAAATGGGATTAGCCTTACTGAGGCTATCTGGTCGGCATGGATGAGTTGAAGAGAAGGGTCTGTTTCCATGTTGTATATCTCTATGACTCTGTGACTAAATAAACTTGAAAATGGAACACAGATAGTGCATTTTATGGTTAGTTACCTTCCAGTCTTTTTACCCGACTTTCCAATTTCTTCTTCCTAAAATACAAGGTTAAGAAAAAATATCAAATATAAAATATCATGCAAGGCTAAAACAAAACCACATTAAAAAATGTAAAAGTCTGACTTACGCAGCATCATTTCTTGCCTGTTCTTGCTGTAATTCATTGAACTCTAAATGGGTCTGTTGGTACATCTTGATGGAACTCTACCAAGAAAACCAACAGTGACAGAAGTGCATTAGATATCTCAAAATGTTTTGTTTCTTAAATGGGGGAAAACGGAAAAGTCTCTGATGATAAATAGATTTCAATTTCATGTTTTATAAACAAGATTTGCTTTCATAGACAGGTTAACTGCATTAAAATAAGGGTAAACACAATCTCTCAAACATCTTATACATATAAAACCAATGAGGTTGAGTCATTAGCACGTACTTGAGGAAAAAAAAAGTGCCATTGGACATTTCTACGTTATTGTCAAAAGGCAGTTTCAAAGAGCATATTACCCTCTTTTCTTCCAGTTCCACCCTCATGGCATCCATTTCTTCCTTGCATTTTTCCAGAGGTGCAAATTTCTGCAACAACTCATCCAGTTGATCTCGAAGTGTTTTACAATCCCTGCAGTCAAGTAACATTAAAAAAAAGCAACATTTAGACGGAAGCTTTTGAGAATGGGATGAAACCAGACTGTGAATAAAAAAAAAACCAGGACTGTGATTTAACTGCAGTCACCTGTAATACTCCAATTTGGATGCAAGACTATATTGAATGGAGCAATACTAAAGTTTCCTTTGAAAAGCAGAATACTGCAGATGCTGGATGTCTGAAATTTTTTAAAAAATGCTGGAAAATGCAACCAATAGTAGCATCCGTGTAGAGACAGAAACAGAGTTAATGTTCTTAATGAAAAGGGTGTAGACCCGAAATGTGAACTCTGCTTCTCTGTCTACACGAATGCTGGCTAATTGGATTTTCTTTAAGCATTTTCTGTCCCTTTTTTTCAAGTTCTTTTTTTTATTCTGAGTTAGCTGGACAGACTTAGGAAGGGTATAATTGAGCATTACGTGGGGATGTGAAGATGACAGAAGTTCTCACTCCTGTTGCATATTCAGTAATCTCCATAGGAACATGTGAGTAAATTACCTTAGGCAGAGGAGTGACAAATTAGATTCAATGATTAAGTTGCTCACTGTCAAAGAGTCTGCCAATATACTGTATGGGTTCATTCAATTATAACCGCTTGTGTTAGACACTGAAGTGCACCAATGAACAGAGAATTACCAAGAACAGTCAGCATCTGCATAAGTGTAAGAGGGCCATAAAATCTGGCAAAGACTCTTCTTTTTACCTAATATATTTTTATATATTAGTATATTTTTATATATTTTTATAATATATTTTTATAACAAGTTTCCCAATCCTCAGGTCAGATTACTTACATGATCACATTTCATGAAATTAAAAAAATGAAATTAAAACAGGCAAATAATAACTCGATGTGATTCCACTTCCTTTCAGAACTCAAATGAAGAAATGTTCGCACTAATGATAAGGTGCTCAGTCTGTTGATTTAGACTTTAAATTGTTGGGAGGTTAAAAACGTTTCGTTCGTCTCCGAACTGCAGTAGATGAATGAACAGAAATGCTTAAAAATTATTCATAATTAAGTCATGCAGAAAATAAAACTACAAATCAATCCCTCTTAACTCTGAAACATCACATTAAATAAGAGCAGAAAGATAAAATGTTGTCTCACCTTTCTGTTTTTTGAAGTTGTAATAACTTGTTAAGGAAAACAAGGGTAAATCTTTTAAATACACTAAGTTGGTTGGAAAGAAAGTGGTGAGTGCTAAAATCAGTGAACATCGATGTTATACAGCATTTTTATTAAATGCTGATCTCCTTCTCATGAATTATTTGACATATCACAAAGACTGACATGCTGGATTTATTTTGCACCATATTTAACATTATTTTCAACAATATGTGAATATTGTGCTGGTAATGTATTTCAAAGTGAAACAAAAGGTAAAGTTTCTGCTTTGAGTGCATATTGCATCCAAACTTTAAGCCATTTTGAAGACAGACTTCTTACCATCACCCCCCAGTGTTTTCATGCAAACTTATTTACATATTGGTAGATTTTGTGTTTGCCATGAATTATTGTAACTGGACAGTATGTTATACTTTTCATAATTTGCTTTAAAAGGTTTTCTTCAAACAGTTAAATGTGGCAACTTGGTTGAATTTGATTATGAAAATAGATTCAACAAAAAAAATTTGATCATAATGTGAATCCACCATTTTTAATAACCCAATACTAAATTACTTAAATTCAATTCAGTGGTGACTAATTCACCTGGGGCATGACCAATATAGTGGGCTGGCTGCCGTCCAGCACAAATCTTTAAACCAGCACGAAGACTCCAGAACTACACTGAATGCAAATTACACATGAAGTTTGCCAGTCTTTTATATCAGTTGCAACAAATTTCATCAAAACAAAGAGAGCATTTAACTGGAAACTCCAGTCTCTATCTTTCCAAAGTGTCCTCAATTTTTCAGAAGTTATTTTTATTTGATATACTACCATAGCAAGTGAGAATGCTACACTAAAAGAACACACTGTTGAATCAGAATTTGAAAAGTTCCAAAGCATAAATATTGGTAGTGAAAAATGACTGATAATTAGATAGTTCCAGTGACCAAAAATACAAAATGGGGTTCTAGCCTGTTATTGCTTATACAAATAATTACGAAATTCAACCAAGTTAAGGGGAAGAAAAAGAGTCACTCTCAGACTTCCATTGCATAGGAAGCTACCATTTCACCTTCGGCACCAGCGGAAGGTATTCACTTACTTCCATTTGCCCTTGTCTAAAATACATATTTCCTTTTGAGAAACTATCCTGAATCTCAATTTCTGTCAAGGTTCCCAATGTCCCTCTAAAAAAAATCTAAGTTTGCCATTTTGAAGATGACCTTAAAAGCTGTCAATTCTATCAATGTAACCAGAAACACATTAAGAGTAGCTTTAAAAGCAAGTTGTGCCAAGTGAAGCTAAATAGTAGTCTCATAGATAAAGCGCAGAACATGTTCTGGGTTACCGTTTACTGTGGTGCTCCTGTAATTGGAAGAAGACAGCAGCTCATCATCCGCTATAACACAACATGTTTATCAAAGTGATATATCACAACCGACAATCGATATTTTGAATTGTTTATCTACATTCCAAAACCTAAGAGGCAAGAAATTACATCCTTCCATCCCCAAATCTCCAAATTTCAGTTCTCTACACAATAACCTATTTTTGCTCAATCTCCCACAGTAGAATTTCAGCATTTAAAGGTTCAATTACGACATTCTGTTTATTCTTCACTGCTCAAAATCTAATAGGAGAAGCTTCCTTACTCAGAGAAATGAGACAGGGACATTCACGAGTTGAGGCGATAGCAAAGATTAAGGGAAGCTAGATAAATAAATAAGAGATTAAAAAGCCCAGAAGATTAAACAGAACAGAAGGAAGCTCAATTGGTGTTTGCCTTTCACTCTCAATTCAACCTGATTTTCCTCTCTGCATTGTCCCTGTCATACGACATCCAGAAGTAAACAATAAATCTTATCAAGCGTCAAGTTTTCTAAGAAAGAGGCAACAGAAAATGGGAATTTAAGTTTCTGTAGTAATTTTATAAATCAAAGAGCACCAATGGGTATAGTCTGCTTTATCTTGTATGAATAAAGGATATCATCACATTTTTTCTGGTATTCTGTCAGAACATGGCTGGAAAGAGAAAAGCAACATCATAATGTTATAAAAAATGTTTTGACTAGGCTTTCATCAAGATCAATATTTGCATTTATGTGGTGCATTTAATCTAGTAAAATATATGCGGTTGCTTCAGAGAAATGTTAACATTAAAATTTGACAATCACAAAGAGATACTGGGCCAAATGGCTGAAAGCCTGGATAAAATATTTCAGAACTTAAGGATTTGACAGTTAAAACTGTGTGGCCATGCACAATGGACTAGATAAAATCAGAAATGCAACAAAGACAAAAATTAAAAAAGCTCAAGGATCAGAATTTTTAAATTGAGTCACTGCAGGATTAGAAGTAAATGTAGTTTGGCGAGTATAGCGTTGAAGGGTTAACATAACATAACTGATACAGTTTTAGCATAATTCAAATTGATGCAGAGTGAAAGAGGGACAGTAGCCAAAGGTGTGCTTAAATAGTTGCGTAGAAACAATGAAGACCTGGTAAATATACTAGCGGATGAGTCAAGGATAGTCATATGCCATTAAGAGAGGTGAAAGTAGGAGCTCTTGATGCTTTATTGCATATGATCTGGTGCTCATCTCTGTGTCAAATGTATCAAATTATACTGCACCGTTTCTGCCTTAGACTGTTGTCAAGGACTGATACGAGTTGGCAGCTAGGGAAACAAATCTGTGGCGAGAACCAAAGACAATGGCTTCAGTTTTTAGCAGGAAATTTAGGAGCATTTTTAGGAGGAAATCTCTGCTCATCTAGTAACTGGATACTGGACGAGCTGTGTGACAATTCAAAAAAGAGTGAAGGGGTCAAGAGAAGTGGTGGCAATTTAGAGTTGGATGTCATCAACATAGACATGAAACCTGATCTTTTTGTCTTGAGATCAGTGAGTCAGCGTTTAGATAATAAATAGGAGGGGCAATAAGGATAGATCCTTAGGAGTCTGGATATGCAATGGTGTGGGAGCTAGAAGCTGCAGAACATTTTTCTGGCTATAAATGGATTGATAAAAGTGGAATCAAAAAGGTGGGCAACAAATGAGAGGCATTGGAAGAGGATAGGGTAGTCAACCCTGTCAAAGGCAACAGACATGTTAATAGGATGTATGATAGTTTACTATGATTGCAGCCATGTTTGATCAGGGCTAACAACTGTCTGACATGTGGTGTTGGTCACAAATTTGTCAACGTGGAAACATATGTTTGAAATTTGGCAGGATTTTAAAGAACTGATAAGATTTCCTGAGAACAAAGTCACAGCAAAACACATTGACTAATAACAAATCAGACTGAAATACTTACTCTGTATCAATGATTTTTTGTTTCAGTGCTATTAATGCAGTTACATATTCATTTAAATTCTGAAAGGATAAACAAAAGTTAAGAAAAAATTGTAGAAAATATAGAAAGGCATTTTAACTCTATAAACTATCTTCCTTTTGTCATATAAATGCAATCAATTTCAGTGTTACTTTAGTCTAATTTACTCAATTATGTCCTTTTTCCAGCAATAAACCTGTATTTCACCATTTGCAATCTGGTTACAGACTCAAGCATGATTTTTCAGGATTAAACAATGTATCTACCACTGATATTTGTGAAAAAATATCAAAATTTGTAAACCTGGCTGCATTTACAGTTCATTACTGTATACAGAATTTTAAAATGATACTAAGCACTAAGTTCAACACCAATCTTCAGTTTGCCCTTGCTGGAAAAAAGGTCAGGACTGCAACTCCATTGCTGCTGTCTCGTGAGCTCCGTTGGAAAAATGTACATTTGTAAACACCAGGTAAAGGGGAATCCACTGTGTTTCACTTCTATACATAGTTACCCTGACTGCAGGCCCTCAGTCTGGGATCAGGCGTGAAAAATGGCCACTTTAGAGTGTTTAGCCATTGTAGAACTGTAAAAGGTGACAGTAAAGTAACCACAGTCCTACTGGATCAGAGAGAGACGACTGGTGGTGGTTTAAGAGCTTGAGAAGGAGAGTCCTTCATGGTAAGCTCAATCATTGTGGGGATCGAACCACACTGTTGGCATCACTCTGCACCACAAACAGGCAGTCCAGTCAACTGAATTAACTGATCCCCTGTAAAAACTGGAAATACTTAGCAGATTTGATAACATAATGGTGACAGAGCACAGTCATGTCAATTTCTACCTCCATAGATGCTACGTGATCAGCTGAGTTTTTCCAGTTTTTCCCTAAAATAAAGTGCTAGACAGTCCCAAAAGTACTTTTGTATTAAAATTACAGTAGTAAAATGACTCTTGATATCAGTGTAGGGTGCCTACAGCACTATATTGCTGTGCATAAGCTAACAACTACAGAACGTTCCTGGGGCTTTTTGTACTTTAGGGTAAATTAATTTCAGACATTGTCATTCCTTGAGGGCTCACGTTCGCATTAATTATACTAAAACAAAAGTAGTAAATATTGAATAAAGCTTCTTCTGGCTCAGCAGAAATACAAGATGGAAGACTAAAGTGAATAAACATCTCAGGCTGCAATTATAGTATGTGAACACATGCAAAACTAATTGTGCATTATAAGGTAAACTTCCTATTAACAATAGGATGCGTAATTGCTATTAGTCAAAAGAAGTGGTTCTATGAAAAACTGTATAGCATAAGTTGTACCTTCCGTCCCATCATAGATGCTTTTGATATTCCTCATCAATGTTAATCACCAGCACTTCACCTTGGTGCTGGCTATTTAAGCCAGATCCCTCAAGTGAGAAATGGAAATATTTAGGTACTTAATGTTGGCAATGCAATTGTACTGAGGTCTAACACTCATATTTTGTGAAATGTTGCTACTTAAGTTATACAAGAATCTTTAGCAAGCACATGAATTCTAGACATGTCAGCAACTGAAAAGAAGCTGCCAACATTGAATTGAAGACCAGAGTAAAATTATCATTAGTGCAGAACCTATTGGAATCCAATGACACCAAACTGCAAGTGGAGAGTATAATGTCCATTGATACGGTGAACAACAACGTGGGCCTTCTACTGATCAGGAAAGCGATTGCCTTAGCATGGAAACATTTTAGAGGGGCCAAAGGCTAATGAAAGAAAACACAGGAGGATGTCTGAATATATGGTGAACTCAAAACACAGAGCTACATATCAGTTATATGTGCATAGTGTAATGTCTAGATTCAAGTCAAAAAGAAAACATTTATATGAGCAGCAATACTATATACATTAAGGGAGGAGGGCAAAATCAGAAAAACTGGACACAAATTTAACGGGCACTTCAGTACTGAGAAAATGCTGAACAGTCAGAGTCATTGTGATTTGAGAAATATATTAAGCTGGAGCTGTCATAATCTTTCAAGTAGACTAGAGTAACTTATATACATATCCATCAGAGTTCAGCTTACTTTATCCTTCATGATACTGTGATACTACGATACTACAAATCAGTGAATTTACTCTTGATTATTTTCTCACTTCTCTTATTTGTTTTCAAGCTTCAGTTATTATGACTAAACTCAACACAGGTGCTGTAACTAAAAGAGCACTTGTGCAAACAAACCTGAATGACATAATTTTTGTAATGAACTTATAAAGCAATGCTTAAATTTAGTATGAAGGCTATACAAAACTGCACCAGTTTTAAGCCTCTCCAAGTCAGCCAGTCCACCTTGACAAGTAGCTAACCCAATGCAACAATCCATAACATTATAAAATACAGGGAAAGTACAGGCATGTCAAGGGTGTGCTTGCTAAAATTATATGATACAATGAAACTCCTTTAAACGTGACATTTCTGAAGTAGTTGCTGTTGTATTGGCAGCAAACTCATGTACAGCAAGGTTCCACAGAGCTGAAAGAAATGACCAGATTATCTGTGTTCTCACTGGCGACATCAGTTTACGGACAACATCAGTTAGGAAACTTGGAAGAATTCTCTGGCTATTTGTCAAAATTGTGCCAAATGATCTTTCACGTCCACCCAAGACAACAAATGGGGACTTGGTTTAACACTACACCTCCAACAGTACAGTGCTCTCTCAGCACTACAGCGGAATGTACATGCTGATAAGGTGGGACAGAGACATGAGAGTTGTACAGCACAGAAACAGACCCTTCGATCCAACTTGTCTGTGCCACCCAGACATCCCAATCTGATCTAGTCCCATTTGCCAGCATTTGGCCCATATCCCTCTAATTCTTCCTGTTTATTGGCCCATCTAGATGCCTTTTAAATGTTGCAACCGTACCAGCCTCCACCACTTTCTCTGGCAGTTGTTCCATACACACACCAGCCTCTGCATTAAAAAGTTGCCCCTTAGGTCCTTTTTAAATCTTTCCCCTCTCACTTTAATCTATGCCCATTAGTTTTGGACTCCGCCACCCTAGGAAAAGACCTTGGCTATTCACCTTATCCATGCCCCTCGTGATTTTATAAACCTCTAGGAGGTAAACCCTCAGCCTCGGATGCTCCAGGGAAAAATGCCCCATCTTATTCAGCATCTCCTAGTAAATCTTTTCTGCACCCTTTCAAGTTTAACAACATCCTTCCTAATAGAAGGGTGATCATGATTGTAAGCAATGTTCTAAAAGTGGCCCCACAAATGTTCTGTACAGCCACAAAATGGCATGCCAACTCCTATACGCAATGTTCTGACCAATGAAGGCAAGTGTGCCAAACACCCTCTTCACTACCCTGTCTACCTGCGACTCTACTTTCAAGGAACTATGAATCTGCTCCCCTAGGTCTCTTTGCTCGGCAACACTTGCCAGGGCCCTACTATTAACTGTCCAAGTCCTGCCCTGATTTGCCTTACCTTTATTGCTGGAAAAATGCAAATCTCACATTTATCCAAAACTCCACCTGCCATTCCTCAGCCCATTGGCCCATCTGATCAAGGTCCCAAAATACTCTGAGATAATCTTCTTCTCTGTCCATTACACCATCAACATTGGTGTCATCTGCAAACTTACTAACCATACCTCCCAAGTTCACATCCAAATCATTAATGTAAATGACAAAAAGCAGTGGACCCAGCACTGATCCTTGTGGCACACCACTGGTCACAGGCCTCCAGTCCAAAAAGCAACTCTCTACCACCACTCTCTGTCTCCTACCTTCAAGCCAATTTTGTATTCAATGGCTAGCTCCCCCGGATCCCATGTGCTCTAATCTTAGGAACCACAAACCCCTGACTCAGGTTAGTTACATCGCTATGCACATTGGCTGATCTTGACTGGGAATGGCCGAGCATAAAATGCTGATATTTCCAAGATTTACTTGCATGGAAACTCTGCATTTCAATAATTTGCAAGAAACAATATAAAGTAAAATTTTCACTAACAGGCAGTGTAACAACCAGAATGAACCACAAAACAGAATCTTCAATCTCCCTTTGAGAAAACCAATGAATACAGTAATTCTAAGTACTTTATGCAAATTATTTCTCCTTGAATACTATATAAATCCAATGGAATAAATGATTTCCTGTCCCACGCTTAACTGAACAAATATTGTTTGAAAGAGAAATGTTGAAAACCAACACTAACCAGGGAGATTTGTAGTCTTTGTTATGGTTCGATGACACTGCACTCGGATTACCTCCTGGCTACTAAAACTCCCCATTTTGAATAAGGTTTAAAAGTCGTACATCCAATTATTTTGTCTCTTATTTTTTCTATCATCTTTGAACGTTTTTGTTAAACTTCCCAAGGCTGGTTCACCATCACCACTCTTACTCTTGCCCTCACCTCTGTTCTTTATATTTTCTAATCAACCTGCTCAGAGTTGTTGTTAAATGATACTACCACTGCACCCTCCGATCGTAGCTTAGCCTTGTGTTGGTTCCTCAACTAATCTGCTCCTGGCTGCTGTTGCTGCACTTGAGTCCTACGCTCCATCTTGTGGCAGAGATTGGTTGGTGCACATAATTCTGGCCAGCTGATATCTGCACTGATCAAATTTTGCCACTAGATGGAGCTTGGTCAATCTAAAAGTACAGTGCTGTAGATGAGTTAACGCAGTGTGGAGCTGGATGAACACTGCAGATCAGGCAGCATCAGAGGCGCAGGAAAGCTGACGTTTCGGGTCGGGACCCTTCTTCAGAAATGGGGGAGCGGGAAGGGAGCTCTGAAATAAAGAGAGAGAGGACGGGTGGGGCTGGGGAAGGTAGATGGGATGGTGATAGGTGAGTGCAGGTCGGCAGTAGTGGGGATTGGTCAGTGAGGTGGGAGAGAAGATGAACATTTGTGTCCTCCAGTGTCACAATGACACCACCCGGAAACTGGAGGAGCAGCACCTCATATTCCGCCTTGGGAGCCTACAACCCAGTGGTTTCAATGTGGACTTTACCAGTTTCAAAATCTCCCCAACCCCCACCGGCCTCAGCCCATGACCAACCCTCCCTCTTATCCCCGCCTCCTTGACATGTCCTTCTTCTCCCCGACCTATCCGCCCCTCCCACCTCACTGACCAATCCCCACCACTGCCTACCTGCACTCACCTATCACCATCCCATCTACCTTCCCCTTCCCCAGCCCCACCCCTCCTCTCTATTTATTTCAGAGCTCCCTTCCCCCTTCCCCCTTCCCCATTTCTGAAGAAGGGTCCCAAACCAAAACATCAGCTTTCCTGCTCCTCTGATGCTGCCTGAACTGCTGTTTTCCTCCAGCTCCACACTGTGTTTTCTCTGACTCCAGCACTGGCAGTTCTAACTATCTCTGAGTGCTGTAGATGAGTAACTCTTTTGAACCGTGACAACTTGTTGCACTGTATACAGTAATTTGTGTATAGAAATGTATTTAATTTTGCACATTACTTCAGCTAGGATTGTACAATACTGCACATTTTTGGCACAGGACTTCAAAGTCACTGACCAGGCAAGAAAGATCTAAAGTAACCTACCCGAGATCAGATGCTCATTAGAAAGTGGGATCTGACTAATCAAGATGTTGCTATAGAGAATGCACCGGAAAGTAATCACAAACTTGTGTTTAAATTTTTAAAAAAGGTAACTCAACTTTAGTTTTGACAATGCCATGGAGAACGCACCAACAAACAGAGTTTTCCAATTAAAACTGAAAATGTGCTATGTCTGGACAAGTTCCTTTTGCCTGCAGGGAACCAAGAACTGGTAATGAATACATTAAGTTTCTAATAAATATCAATAAGCAATAGTGCAAGCTTGACTGATCATCCTAAATTGGTTATTAGCCTGGTTCTTGGCACATGCGGGATTATTCATTTCATGCTGTATAATCACAGAATCAAATTTAATGGCTGGATGCTATGTTCTGAAGTTTGCAAACACAGGCTGATTGAGTATGATCAGAACTTTACCAACTACGAACAACTGAAGGGATAAGCTATTCAATATGATCCACCAGTCATTGGGATGTGTTTTACTTACCTGGAATCACCTGGTGCTGAAATTCATGTACCATATTACTAAGTTGTGTGGTGGTTAAAAAAAAAGTGCCAAGTTTACCTCAAGTTACCATAAGGGAATAAGGTGTCCCATAAATTTCAGCAATTGGTGAAGCTAGCCATTACAGATATTTTCCAAACAACCTGTTCAAAGAGGTTATTACACACCTCTGGAACAAGTGGGAAAGCTAGCCTTTACACGCTGCTACTATGCAGTAATATCAGGATGCCTTTATCGAGCCAAAAAGATATTTCAGCTAGCACACAAATTAGTCATGTAGTATATGAATTTCAGTGGCAGTATAATGCCAAGTACGTAAGTCAAAGATCCCAATGACTGGTTGGTTACATCAAACAGCACATCTCTTTGGGATGTCTCTGTGTGGTACAAGACATTAACAGCATCCCAAAAACACTCAAGGGGCCCACACCAGGAGAAAAAACAAACATAATAATGTTCGCTACAGAAAAATACTAGGAAATCTAATAGGGCCCTGATGGGTTACACACTAGAATATTAAAGGAAGCAGCTACAAAGATAGTGGACACAATGGTAGTAATCTTCCAAGAATCCTTAGGTTCGGGGAAAGTCCCACAGGATTGGAAAGCTGCCAATGCAACACCTCTAAAGAAGACAAAAACATCAAATAACTATAGGCCAGTCAACTTAATATGCCATTGGGAAAATGTTACAGTCCATTATAAGGAATGTAATGGCAGAGCATTTAAAAACACATCATAAAATCAAGCAAAGACAAACAAGTACTATTTTAGCATGGATACAGGATTGGCTAATTAATAAAAGCCAGATAGCTGGGATAAAGAGCATTTTCAGAATGGCAACCTGAAACTAGTAGAGTACCACAGGGATTGGTGTTAGGATGTAATTATTTACAACATATATTAATGACTTAGTTGAACGAAGTGAATGCACTGTTGCCAAGTTTGTGGATGACTCAAAATATGTGCAACGTCTTGTAATAAGGATAACACAGACTACAGAGGGATTATAGACAGATTAAAAGAATTGTCAAAAACGTGGTAGCTGGAACATTAGACGGGAAAATGAGATTACGCATGTTGCCAAGAAGAATAGAACAGCTAAATAGTTTTAAAATGGGGAAAGCAGCAGAAAATTGCAGCACAGAGAGATTTGGGGCCCCTGTGCATAAATCACAAAAAACCTCGCAGCGAAGTTCATTCAATAAGGGAAGACAAATGGACCTTTTGCCTTCATTTCGAAGGGAATGGAGGGTAAAAATAGGAAGTCTTGTTACAACTATAAGGAATAGATCAGGCCACACCAGGAATACTGTGAATAGTTTGGTCCCCGATCTAGGCAAAACTATACTGGCATTGGTGGCGATCTAGACATGGTTTACTAGCTAGATCCTGTGTCTAAAGTGACCTTCCTATGAGGAACAGTGGAGTAGGTTGGGCTTGTACTCATTTAAGTTTACAGCAATGAGACGAGCCTTCATTGAAACATGTAGAGGTTCTTAGGGGACTTGACAGGCAGATGTAGAGGGGATGTTTCACCTGGTGGGAAAGTCTGTGACCAGAGGGCATAATCTCAGAGCAAGTGGTCACTCATTTAAGACAGAGGGGAGAATGATTTGTTTTCTCCCAGACAGTAGTCAACCTACACAATTCTTTACTGCAGAAAGCTGTAGTGGCTGGGTAGTTACATATACTCAAGAATGAGACAGACATTTTAAATCAGCAAGGGCCTCAAGGGTTTCAGTGATCAAGCAGGAAAGTGGAGTTGAGGACTATCAGATCAGCCATGATCTTAGAGAATGGCAGAGCAGACCTGACATGCTGAATGGACTACTTCTGCTCCTACATCGTACTGTCTTAAGACAGTTCCAACCTTTTACCATTCTCACTGTCACTGAGTTAAAACCTGGAACTCCAATCTTCAAAGCACTGTTGGTATACCTCCGCCATGTGGACTGCAGCGATTCAAGGAAGCAGCCAATACTATCTTCAAAAAAATGGGCAACAAATGCTGACAATTCTACTGATGATCACACCCATATATAAATTTATAAACAAACTCTGGTACAAATATGATGCACTCCTTCCAAAATCCTCCTTAAAACATCTTTAAAATGTTCTCCTTAAGGTGTGGTATCCAGAACTGCTCACAATGCTACAAGTCTGGTTTAATCAGGGCTTTGTAGGGCTGAAGCCCCTTTTCCTATGAGATGTAACAATCACTGTTCTCAATTTAAGATAACTTTTATTTGTTTTAGTTTTGCACTAATATCAATGCAATGTTAACTTTTACAAAAAAGCAAAGCATATAGAATTTCAGGCATAAATTATTCAGGGATTCCAGTTATTTCTAACATGAGACACAATCTAAAAAATTTCATAGACGTTGAATTTTAAGTTAAACAGTACTTTTTCAAAGATAAACAGTTATAAGAGGATATTAAGATACAGCTCTAGAAACTGATAATTAGTTTCACATACTTCTTTGTTTACAGAGAGTCAAGTTAAACACTTTACCCTTGGATACATAGATTACCAGGAAATACACAAAACAGTATAAATGCCATCTTTTGAATTATATGGCTTGTAGATCTAAAAAACATGGAATTTAAAATGGCAATTATATTTATTTTTAAAAAATCCAGTGCAAAGGATGCACGAAGTATAGAAACCAAAACAATGCAGCATACAGAAAAATTTAATTGTCTGTACTATTATCTTCTTCCCTTTGAATCATAATCTTATACGGTAACATAATCCGTATACTGTGTATACTGTAAAGCTCTATGACAATGCAGTTACCATTTAATGTTAAATTGTTCTTTATTGCAATCTATATTTTATCATAAGAAAACGGTCATTCTCTGTTGCGTCAGAATCTAAAATTCAAGTCCTACACTAGGAACCCGAACACAAAGAAAGATGACACTTCCATGCTTCACAGTTGGAAGTGCCATCTTTTGAATGAGATGGTTAAAGTGAACCTCAGTGTCTCTCTGAGGTGATTATGGAAGATCGTACAGCATAATTCAAAACCAAGTGCTAAGTGCTCTTGGGTGCCTGGGTCAACACTTTACGCTTCAATGGTCATCACAAAAATTGATGATCTGGCCATGACTATATTTCTATTTATCAGACCTTGCAGTGCACTAATTGTATGTCACTTTTCCTTCATGACTGCACTGCAACGACTTCATTGATAGTAAAGCATTTCAAGACATCAAGAAAGAGAACACAGACATCCAAACCTCGATACAACACACAATATCACCTGCACTTGTCTTGAATTTCATGGCTCAGTTTCCACAAAAATGCAGTCTTCTTGTTTATAATCCAATGGCTGCAATTACAAGCCACCATTCTACTATATTGCAAGGCTCGCCGAAAACCTGTCACTCCCTATTTGCATTATAATCCAATGCTTTATAATAATTTATTTCCCTAAATTCTGATCAAATAACATATTAATCGACAACAGTATTGCAATGAGTTATTATTATAATATGTGTTCTTCCTATTTCATCCCTTTGTTCTCTATGTTATAATTCACTGCTCTATTTTAATTTGGCGGTCTATATAACACATTACTCCTACTTCAATCAAATGGTCCACTTTTAATCTAATAAACTTTATTTTCCCCAGCATCATAATCCAGTGATCTCCATAAGCATTGCTTTATTTCAATGCATTAATCCTGACGCCCATACACCGCCCTCTTGCTCGCTATTATTTGTTGCTCTCTGGTTCCATCCATTGCTCCAATGTTATCGATTCGGAATCACGCACATTGACCGCATGTTTACCTGCTGCAAGGTGTCGCAGTTCACACAGGAAGCTGAGCCCGCGGTCACAGCATCCGCCGCCACCTCAGCCGCCTGTGAACGGGATTCTCCGGGCATCATGTTCCCAGGGAGCGGCTACACTCGGCGCTGAAGCTCACTCCCCACTCGGGCCCCACAACGACGCCATACCCGAGTCGCACAACCGATGACGCGGAGCTACGCGACACGGCCAGGCCGGACCCCAGGGCGGGAGGCCGCCGAACTTACAAGCGACCTTCAACAAACACACAACCAGATAGCATTCAGCCACCACATGTCGTCAGAGAAGACAGGACAGCTCACCCACCTGGCCGTCATTCAGATAGAAAATAAAGGCAGGAATACGGTATATCAAATGTGGCAGCTGCTTAGACAGCATCAAGCATCCGGTCAGGACCCCGTTCCTGAATCAGAACTTAATTACTCCAAATCAGAGTTACTCCAGTTTCAGGATCAGAATTACTCCAGATCAGAGTTGCTCCAAATCAGAGTTACTCTAGTTTCAGGATCAGAGTTACTCCAAATCAGAGTTAGTCCAGTTTCAGGATCAGAATTACTCCAGATTCAGCATCAGAATTACTCCAGATCAGAGTTACTCCAGTTTCAGGATCAGAATTATTCCAGTTCTGAATTACTCCAAATCAGAGTTACTCCAGTTTCAGGATCAGAGTTACTCCAAATCAGAGTTACTCCAGTTTCAGGATCAGAATTACTCCATATTCTGCAACAGAATTACTGCAGATCAGAGTTACTCCAGTTTCAGGATCAGGATTACTCCAGCTCAGAATTACTCCAGTTTCAGGATCAGAATTACTCCAGATCAGAATTACTCAGTTTCAGGATCAGAATTATTCCAGATCAAAATTACCCCAAAATCAGCGTAACTTCAGAATCATTCAAGATCAGAATTACTCCAGTATTAGAGTTTCTCCAGGATCAGAATTCAATTAATCCAGTCAGAATTACTCCAAGATCAAAATACTCCAGTACCACATTCAGAATTTCTCCACGACCAAAATCAAAATTAAATTACTCCAGATCAGAAATACTTCAGGATCCAAGTTACTTCAGACCAGAATCACTTGAGGATCATGTTTACTCCAGGATCAGAATCATTCCAGATCAGAATTAGTGAACCAGATGGGTTTTCATGGCGGTCAAAATTTTACTCATTCACAATACTGATCCTTGATTTTCATTTTGGATATGCTCAATTAATTAATTTAAATTGCTGCAACAATTTGTAATTTGAACTGTTGTCTGCAGAACATTATGGTTGACATGATGTCACTGCTGCCCCACAGTGCCAGGGACCTAGGTTCACATCCAGCTTTAGGTGACTCCCGGAGTGGAGTTTGCATATTCTTCTGTGTCTGCATGGGTTTCAGCCCAGTGCTGTGGTTTCCTCCCTCTGTCCAAAAATCTGCAGGTTCGGTGGATTGGCCATGCTAAATTACCCTGTAGTTACCCTGGATTACCCTTGGTAAATGCAGGGTTAGGGGGAAGAGGTGGGTCTGTGTGGGATGCTGTTCAGAGGGTCGGTGCAGACTTGAAGGGCCGATTGGCCTCTATCTGGGCTGTAGAGATTCTCAGCTTCTGGATTACTAGTCCAGCAATAGTATTCCTATGGGTGGAATCCTGTGTTTGAGATTGAATGTGTGGGCAGGCCAGAAAGTGGGAAATATTTCTGCACAGGGATGGATTCGGTTTGCATTTCAATTACACTCTTCTAAGCTCACTGCATACACTACATGTGTCAAATTTTATGGGCAAGCAGGCAGGAAGTTTGACCCCTTAGGACATTTGGGGCTTTAAAAGACACCTGGACTGGATTTCACTCTCTGCATTATTCAGCCTTTGCCTAAATCACCCCCACCCACCTCTTGAGATGTCAGAGACCAGGCAAAATATGGCACCATGCTTTGCTGATGCCTCCATGGAGGTCCTCTTGGAGGCTGTCAGTAGAGAAAGGAAGTTATGTTCCGTAGGGATGGCAAGAGGATGTCATCCTGACTCATGAAGACAGACTGGACCGAGCTGGCTGCAGAGGTCAGTGTCCAAGGGCAGCTCGAGAGAACCTGGGTCCAGTACTGCAACAAGATGAATGGACTTACCAGGATACGTACAACCGTAATGACCCTCTCTGTATCTGAACATTGCTACCGCTGAGGGCTGATACACACAGAACTGGGCGTCATCAGATACCTTACGTACAATAAATGTCTGTTATTTTAACTACAGTTACCAATGTTGCATTACTTGCTCCACAGTCGTATTGACTTCGAATCCCTACAGTGCGGAAGCAGGCCATTCAGCCCACGGACACTCCGAAAAGCGTCCCACTCAGGTGCATCCCATCCCTGCATTTCATATGCTAATCCACCTGGCCTGCACATCCCTGGACACTGTGGGCAATTTAGCATGGCCAATCCACCTAAACTGCACATCTTTGGAAACCAGAGCACCCGGAGGAGAATGTGCAAACTCTACACACAGTCGCCCGAAGGTGGAATTGAACCCAGGTCCCTAGTGCTGTGAGGCAGTAGTGCTAACCAATGAGCCACCGTGCTGCCCTTGTATGCCTGCCATAGTTCATATTTAAAACACAGGACACTCAATAGCTAATGCATCATCAGCTTACTGACCATTCATCAAAATTAGGAGAATGTACACATCTGATAGTTTTACACCAAAGACTGGCGTGGGACAGACACAAGCATAAAAGTTTGCCACACACATAATGCTTTATTGTTTTTCATCAACTGTAGCTCAGATGGTGCTGACTGTTTCTCTCTGATCTGTTTAACACTTAACTTTGACAATACCATATTTTTTTCACTAATAACACAGCTCTTGGAATTAACGTCCCTATCTGTGTCTACCAAATTAGGTTTAGTGTTTATTTAGCCATGCCTATGTCTCTTAATGCTTCTGCAGGAGAAGAACATGCATAATAAAAGAACTTGCACAGACCTGGGTGTGGGGACAGGATTGACAGCTGAAATTTTGACCCTCTTGGAAGATAAGGCTGCTGAGTTGTCAGGAGAGCAAGGGAAATGCACATTTGCTGAAATGGAGATTGGATATCTGGAGCAATCTGATAAAACTCCCAATCTGCTTCTCCCAGCTGCACATTTTTATTAACTCATTCACGGGGTGTGGACGTCACTGGCTGGGTCAGCATTTATTTCCCATCTTGAATTGTCCAGAGGGCAGTTAAGAATCAACCACTTTGCTGTGGGTCTGGAGTCTCATGTAGGCCAGACCAGGTAAGAATGACACTTTTCTTCCCTAAAGGACATTAGTGACAATTTTTACGGACAATTTTTATGACAATTGGCAATGGATTCATGGTCATCATAAGTCCCTTAATTCCAGATTTTTATTGAATTCAAATTCCACCATCTGGGTCCCCAGAACATTACCTGGGTCTCTAAATTAAAAGTCCAGCGATAATACCACTAGGCCATCACCTCCCATATCAAGTCCCAACGTCCGAATGAAACATCAGGTAAGGGTGGCGGCTCATGACATTAAGAATTTGTTGCGTTTTTCTGTGAAACTTCCAGATTCCACTCCCAAACTGGGGCAAAAATAAAGAAGAGCCCCAGGCTCACATCTATAACTGCCTGAAAGCACATCTCTGAAGCGGAGCAGTCATGAACTTCAGAAGATGCAATGTGAATATCGACCTCCCTACTCTACACCAGCATAGAGATGTTCACATCGATGGGTAATCTGTCTAAATTAGGTTCAAGGCCATATTCTGGTGAGCACAGCACGTAAAAGAGCCTGAAGCTAGAGGAGAAGAAAGCAGCTGAGCTCTCTGACACTTGGTGGGCTGCTGGGGAACAGGCTCCTGCTGGGCCCAGTACAAATGATGAGTCTGTGGACTTGGTCATTAATGAGCTGTTGGAGATTCGTTTGCAAGTAGGGGAAGGTCTGGCAGAAGTGCCAGAGATTATGCGCAGACTGCAATGAAGGGTAGCAACCCTATTCCCTCAAGAGGCGAAGGCAATACCATTGCACACCAATGAGCAGGAGGGACAGACAGCTATCCATGGACTGTTACCTCAGGACATTCCAAATGTGCCCTGTCACACTGCCTTTGCCAGGGAACAAAGCCTGTCTGGTGCCTGGGTTTAGGCTGTCCCTGCAGAGGAATTCGGAGTGGGAAGAAAAAGATCCAGTTGTCATGGTTCATGTAGGTACCAATGATATAGGCAGAAAGGGAAAAGAGGTTCTGCTCAGGGAGTACAAGCAGTTCAGGGTGAAATTTAAATGAGTACCTAAAGAGATAACAATAATCGACAGGTGAGGCAGATGGGCAGGGGTTTCACTGTTGCCTTGTTGGTAAGAAATAAAATTAAATCGATAACAAGACGTGATATGAAGTTGGAAGACATAGAATCTGTGTGGGAAGAGTTGAGGAACTGCAAAGACAAAAAGACCATGATAAAAGTTATGTGTGGGCCTCCTAGTAGTAGTCAGGATATGGGGAAGAAGATATATCAGGAGATAGAAAAGGCATGTAAGAAAGTCACTATTACAATAATCATGGAACTTATATGTGCAGTTGGACTAGGAAAATTGGATTGGTAGCAGATACCATGAAAAGGAATTTGTGAACTGTCCACTAGATGGTTTTTTAGAGTGGCTTGTGTGTACAGACAACTTGTGAAGAAGGATTTCTGTATTTGGTGATGTGTAATATGACAGACTTGGTTCAGGAGTTTATGGTGAAGGAACCCCTCGGGGGCAATGACCATAATACGTTGGAATTTACCCTGCAGTTTCGGAGACAGAAGCTTAAATAAGACATAATAGTATTACAATTGAGTACACGTAACTACAAAGGCATTAGGGTGGAGCTTATCAGGGTGGATTGGAAGGACTGCCTAGCAGGGAAGACGTTGGAGCAACAATGGCAGGAGTTTCTGGGGGTAATCTGAAATGTACGGCAGAAATACATCCCAAGGAAGAAGAATGATATGAAAGGGAGGAACTGTGGCCAACAACGCAAGTCAGTGACAGCATAAAATCAGATGAAAATACACATAATGTGGTGAAGAATCATGGGAAGCCTTTGAAAACCACCAAAGGACAACTAAAAAAGCAATAAGGTGAGAGAAGATGGAATTTAAGTGTAAGC